TGTGCTCCTTCCTCCTCAGCACCGCCACAAGCCTTTTGGGTTCTGGGTAGAGCCTCTTGTGTGTTGGTTAGAAAACTGCTTCTGATTTCCATTCAAATCTATAGATGTTTGGTGTTTTGTTATAGGAAAACCTTCTCTGGCATTTACTTGCCCTTTCCATTTATTTACATATCCTATTCCCACTGATTGTTAAGTTACATAAGCTAAACATTTTCAGCCTTCATGAGGCAGGTATTGGGATGTCCTTTCTATGGGACTCTTTCTGTTTGAATGGTTTTATCTTGAGAGTTGGCTGCATGCAGTGTTTTAGACAGTCTTGTCAGTGATGCCTCAGACAGGAATATGATCCCACTGTCTTTTATTTTTATTTATTTACTTATTGTTTAGTGTAGCTGTGGTACCTTTGTGATGTTTGTCTTAGTTTCCTTCAGGGATTCTAACTCTAACTGATTTTTGTCAATATCTATTTGCAGTTTCTAGGATGTACTTGACTTTTGAGGTTCTTATCTTGCTATGACAGGCCTTCCTTTAATTCCTTTGTCTTCCTCTTCCCATATCAGCCTTTCCATTTGTGTTTTGTTTGGGATGTCTTTTCTGTCTTCTAAAGTCATTTTAGATAGTGTACTTCTCAATCACTAGACTCAGCTAATTTACCCCTGAGGAGTTTGCCATGCAGGTCCTGATCTCCCCAGACCTCATCAAACTCACAATGCATGCAAGTGTAAAACAAGGCCCTTGGTCATGCTAGACCAGAGCAGATGGTGTGAGGATAGATACATTTCATCACACCAAAGGCTTGTACTTATCTACCAAACTCTGCTTTACAACTGAAGGAAGTTTATGCTTCTATTTAGGGCAGCTAACACCTTGTCACAGCCTATCCCAGTGACAGTTCCCTTCTGCTGTGGTGATCTGACAGGAATGGTAGCCCAAAGCCTCATCGTTTCTTTGACAGTCCTTTGGCAAAACAAAAGAAACTAAAACAAAGGTGAGAAAACATCTAAAAAATCTTCAAACATAGAATAAGGAGGTTTGTATGAAACATGTCAGAAAAATAAAGAATTCTGATTCTTATTATAACAATCAGCACTTCCACCAAAGGAAATTAAATATAATGACCCATCAGTTGAAAAACTAGAAGCGTCTTGTGTCTTGCTGCAGCTTGGGGAATGAGTGATGCTTGTGAGATATGTCATGAAATAGAAGACCAGTAGCTAAGGAAGGGAAAGTGCAGGTGGATGCTGAGTAAGCCTAACACCGCATGATTGCAGAATAAAAGGAAACCATATAACATAGTTCTGTCATTCTCTGTTATGCTGGGTTCACTGAGCATCTTGTATCAGAATTCTCAAGGATGGATTAGGAAGTTTAATTTTGCATCCCAGGAATCTGTATTTACAGTGGCTTTGTATGAATGGGACTAAACATTTTATCCAAAGTTTGGGTTCCAGGCATCTGGCAGGACAGAAAATTAACATTTGACAGGAATGATGATTAAGAAGAAATATTTTCTCCCTCTAAAATATTTTACTTCTGAAGAGTTTAAATGTAAAATAAGAGGCTTCTAAGGCAAGACTGGCTGGATAGATCAATGAGCATTTTAAAAATATTTAACTAATGTAGAGTAAGTGGTATTTTCACAGAATCACACAGAATCACAGAATGGTTGGGGTTGGAAGGGACCTCTGGAGATCACCTAGTCCAGCCTCCCCTGCCAAAGCAGATTCATCTACACCAGGTTGCACGGGATTGTGTCCAGACAGGTTTTGAATATCTCCAGAGAAGGAGACTCCACAACCTTTCTGGGCAGCCTGTTGCAGTGCTCTGCCACCCTCAAAGACCTCGCGTTCAGATGGAATGTCCTGTGTTTCAGTTTGTGCCCCTTGCCCCTTATTTTGTCACTGGGCACCACTGAAAAGAGGCTGGCTCCATCTTTTTGATGCCTGCCCTTAAAATATTTGTATGCGTTGGTGAGATCTCTGTTGTTTCTTCTCCATGCTAAATAAGCTCAGCTCTTTCAGCTTTTTCTTATAAGAGGGATGCTCTAATCCCCTAATCATATTTGTAGCCCTCTGCTGGACCCTCTCTGGTAGTTCCTTGTCTTTCTTGTACTGAAGAGCCCAGAACTGGACACAGTACTCCAGATGCTGCTTCACCCAAGCAGAGCAAAGGAGAAGGATCACTTCCCTCAACCTGCTAGCAGCAATCTTCCTTCCTAATGCAGCCCATGATACTGTTGGCCTCCTAGGCACATGGCTCGCTCATGGTTACCTTAGCCACCAGGACTCCGAGGTCCTTCTCTGCAGAGTTGCTTTCCAGCAGGTTAACGCCTAACCTGTACTGGTGTATGAGGTTACTCCTACTCAGGTTCAGGGCCCTACACTTGCCTTTGTTAAACTCCATCAGGATGCTCTCTGCCCAGCTCTCTGCTCAACAATTCAGCCTGTTCAGGTCTTTCCGTATGGTAGCACAGCCTTCTGGTGTATCATCCACTCCTCCCAGTTTTGTGTTTTGAAGAAGGCTGCAACTGCCAAATTTTTCCTTTTGTGTGTTCTTTGTGATCTTAGTAGCAGTGGTAGATGCTCAGGAGGAGAGCAGTCATGTGGCATGATTGACATTGATTTTCTGCCTGAGAAAGCTTCAATCAGAGAAGGCTCAGAACAACACAAACAGAACTCAGTGGGTAAATTAAGGGCATTTTTCTTGCACTTAGAAGATGGAGGCCAGGTCTGTATGTATTCTTTTAAGTGATTTTGATTGTAGGGATGGGGCCGACTTTCCTCACTTGTATGGATAAGGTTCCTCACTTGTATGCATAAGGAGTTTTATTCTTCCTCTTCTTTTTTCATGCTGCCTTTCATCACAGGTAGGAGGTGGTGTTGATAGAGTGATGGGAATGTTTGAAATGTGATAGGGCCTCTCTGGAGAAACTTGGTCCTTCTTCAGCCTGCATGCCCTCTTTTCCATATGAGCTTTCACAGATCCATAGAATCATAGAATGGTTAGGGTTAGAAAGGACCTTAAGATCACCTGCTTCCAACCCCCCTGCCATGGGCAGGGGCAACTCACACTAGACCATGTTGCCCAAGGCTCTGTCCAGCCTGGTCTTGAACACTGCCAGGGATGGAGCATTTACCACTTCTTTAGTCAACCTGTTCCGGTGCCTCACGACCCTCAGAGTAAAGAACATCTTCCTTATATCTAATCTAAGCTTCCCCTGTTTAAGTTTGAACCCATTACCCCCTGTCCTATCACTACAGTCCCTAATGAAGAGTCCCTCTCCAGCCCCCTTCAGATATTGAAGGCTGGTATGTGGTCTCCACACAGCCTTCTCTTCTCCAGGCTGAGCAGCCCCAACTTTCTCAGCTTATCTTCATATGGGAGGTGCTCCAGTCCCCTGATCATCCTCTGGACTTGCTCCAACAGTTCCATGTCCTTCTTACATTGAGGAAACCAGAACTGCATACAGTACTCCAAGTGGGGTCTCATAAGAGCAGAGTAAAGGGGCAGGATCACCTCCTTTGACCTGCTGGTCATGCTCCTTTTGATGCAGCCCAGGCTATGGTTGGCTTTCTGGGCTGCGAGCACACACTGCTGGCTCATGTTAAGTTTCTCGTTGAGCAACACCCCAAGTCCTTCTCTGCAGGGCTGCTCTGAATCTCTTCTCCTCCCAACCTGTAGCTGTGCCTGGGATTGCCACGACCCAGGTATAGGACCTTGTACTTGGCTTGGCTGAACTTCATGAGGTTGGCATTGGCCCCCCTCTCAAGCATATCATGGTCCCTCTGGATGGCATCCCCTTCCCTCCAGCGTATCAACTGATCAACCGTGTCATCGGCAAACTTGCTGGGAGCACATCAATCCCACTGTCCATGTCACCGAGAAAGATGTTGAACACGGTTGGTCCCAACACCAGCCCCTGAGGGACACCACTTGTTAATGGTCTCCATTTGGACACTGAGCATATGACTGCTACTCTGTGTGTGTGGCCATCCAAGATTAAACATGAAAAATAAAGAAGTTGCTGGATATGGAAACATTTGTATTTTTATTCCAGGAGTTACAAATGGCCTTTTCACTGGCCAGTGAAAAGGTGGCATTTGATCAGGCATTGTTTGATAACAGAGGGAAACGATGTACATTCTCATTAAACACTATGTTTGTTTTTAAACTATAAGATACTGATTAAACCTTTAGCACAAAAATAAAGTCCAAAGACAGCTATATAAGGTGAGTTCAATGTGTGTGGTATTTTCAATAAAAGTGCTAGTAAATTTCTCTCAATATTGCTAGTATACAAAAGGTTTTATATGATGATATTTAATTTCTACATTTGCTATTTACTCAGGTCCTGACTCATGACAGACTAAGCCAAATCTCATGGTGCTGCTGGGGTGAATAACGACACCAAACCATGACCTGCGCATACTTGCTGTATGAGCCACAGCTCAGCTAGGAGATTAGCAGTAACCCAAAGCCACCGCTAATGCTGAATGGCCCTTGAAAGGTTAGTGGAATCTCTCTGCTCCACCTGAGATTTGAGGTCTAACCTGCCTCTAAAAATCGTAAGTGTTATTCCCAGCACGATCAGTCCTGCTTTTGCTCTGACATCATCAAGAGCTTTGCTTTCATATGTCAGTGTGTGAGGGAAAGACCTGGCACTAGACATAGCTATATCATGTTTCAAACCTGTCTTTCCTTTTTTTTTATTCTGAGACCTAAACAACTTCCTTTAGCTTTAACAGCTTAATTTCTCCTTTGTAAAATTGGAAGGGTCTTTATCTACCAACCTGATGGTGGTACTGTAGGTATTAGGTAATTGTGAAACACTTCAGTTTCATAAAGCAAAATGAAAACGATGGAGGATTTTTACCTAAACCAGAAAGATGTAGACTCCAAAATGGAGGTTGGCATCAAAAGTTTGGTATATTCTGCTAAATTGCCCACATCATAAAAGCTCCCAGAGCCAGAATTCTTGCTATTTTGAAACACTTATCAGCATAAGATATAGGAAGTTGGTTCCTACTCCGTAAGAATCCGTATTTTGTGTTCTTCAGATTTGGACAGCATAGCCACATCAATCCATTTGAGCTGACCTCCTAAGAAAACTAAAAGCTAAAAGATGAGTTTCACCTTGGCTTGCACTAACAGGTATCTCTGCACATAACTGGTTAGCCATGGTACATATACCTCTGGGTCCCTCTCCTTGGCTGCTTCCATGCATGCATGTTATGGTAAGGATGCTGGTACTGCAAAGATCCAGTGCTTTTGCTGTTTCACACCCTCTTTTTCTTTGCACTGTCATTGTTGAGAGGGGGCTAGTTGATGCAATTCTCATTTCTGGGTATTTATACATATGTGTTTCTGCAACCTACTTTTAGATGTGCACCAGTAATATATGTGGAGACCTATGTAAATAATTGTCAATTTCAGAAGATCCCAGATTTCCACAATGCCCTTTTGTCAGATGTATGGTTTTGATTGCAGACTGTTTTCTAGCAGACATGTTTCAATACTTGGACCTTACAAGTTAACACTGGTTTTTCTTTTTCCCCTTAAAAGGTTGGTTATGTTTGCGAGTACAACAATGTACAATATTGTTGTAAGTACAACATAAGTACAATGGGTTATGCATTCAGTTAGATAAACTAGATAAAGATAGATAAAGACTGTATTTCTTGCAATGATTTTCTCAATACAAAGCTGAAGAAATCTATTTCTTGCAATAGCTTCCTAAATCATTGCTCTAGATAGCTGGACTAAGCAGAATATGTGATTTTGCTTTACTTCTCTGAGGAAGCTTAGAGAAGCAAGCTAGCTTGCTTATTTGCCTAGCTTACTCATGGAAGTATGAGTCACTGTGCAGAATTCTCCAAGCCAAACCCTTTTCCCTGATGCAACTCTGACGACTTACCCAGTTACTTAGGAACTGAAGGAAATGGGATGCTCAAATTAATCACATGGTCAGAGAGATGGAAAGACTCCTGTGGACAAGGGCTGCTGTTCAGTCTTCACCTAACAAAATCACAAAAATATCTCATCCAGTTCAGCGCCTGTTGAACGTCAAGAGGAGTGTAACCATTAATTCATCCTTGCTGCTGCTTTCTAAACTGGCTGTAGCAGAACTGTAACTGTTACCTAACTTGTACTTGAGTGCCTAGCAGGGTGCAGTAAGTGGAGACTTTCTATAAATTACAGTAAGGAGCTGGAGAGATATAGGAGGAGGGCTGCAGGCTGCTGCCTGGCTACTTGCCAGTCAAGAGGGCAGGCAGGTTTAGCACCAAAAGGTCAGAGGCATGTCCCTGCACTCCATCTGGAGCAGAGATCCCCTTGCCCTTATTTTAATATGCACATTAATTCTGCAGCTGTCAGGTTTGATTTCTCCAGGATCCCCATTCAGCACATCTCATGCCAACAAGCCAGTTAGCTTAGGGTAAGGAGCTAAAGAGTCCTGCAAAGACAAGCTTTCAATGACGCAGTATTGCCTTCCCTACAGAGGGAGATACTCTTCTAGCATTGCAGTTCTTTACCTATGTGTTTGACCCTCTTTGTATTCAAAATTATAGCAGGTTATATATTCTCTCCCATCCAAAAATCACTGTGACCAAACTTTCATTTCTGTGAATCAAAATACCAAGTTATATTGCTGGAAACTCAGCATCCTATGGCTGAGAAGTTACTGGGCCATGTAACCACTATTGAAAACTATGAGTACATCTCAACATTACAGACACACAGACTGAATGCCCTGCCTGCTCTATAGAGACAGTGTGCAACAAAGATGTGAATTTGTCCCTTTATCTCTTTCATCCATTTAGGAGATGGGAGTGTCACAGTTGGAACTCTACAAAAGGAGGCTTTTGCTTTAGCAGTATAAACTTACAGGGTCAAGGAAGTCCTAGACATTGAAAACAGTTCAGTCTGTGTTTTCATGGAAGACACACTTCAGCATTCAGGATACCTCTCTTCAAAGCTTTAATTGAAGATATCAGTGCTATAATGCATAACTTTTACAGCTCCTGACATTTTCTGGAACTTGTAATGTATGTATTAGTGTCTGTAGCTCTTTGTGGGTCCTTGTGAATAAAACCCAGTTCTGTGCCTGGACTGAAGTGAGAAGGCCAGAGATCAAGAGAGAATTACATTCTAGTTTTGTAGTCTCCTTTTGAAGCCTGGATGCCACAACAGCTCATAGTTTATCTCATGTTGGTGTTCTCAGATAATGCCCAGTAAATATGGAAAATGTGTGTGCCTGCAGATGATTATATCATAAATGACTATCTGGTCCTTGGAGAAGGAAGATGAAGTTTAATTTGCAGTTCCACAAACTTAGCAATAGGATGGAGGTAGGCAACCAGCTGCTTTCATTTCGGTGCCCACACTTGGTTCACACCTGAGGCTCTTCAAAAGAGCTGCAGCTGTGCTGGTGCAACCTTAAGATAGCAGTCCCAAGGGGTGACTTTGGCTTGTGTTACAGGGTTGAGCTTTTCCGCTGTTCTCAGGTGGGAAAAGTAGATTGGCTGTTTCTGCACAAGGTACTCTTTTAGGTCTTTGTTTTTGTGGTGGTTGTTGGCAGTTCTCTGTGGGTGAGCACAGAGCCTTTGCAAGTGGGAAGTGGGCACACATGACTGTGAAAGGCAGGTGCTGTACTGAGAGGTTACCAGGCAGAGATTTTTAATACTGTTTATATCATATGTACTGCTGGGGTGGACATGGAGCTATCCCCCAGGGGAAAGTTGTTGTTGTCTTATTTCTTAGAAACTTCTACACCCTAGGCTTTTTAATTTTGTTCTGTTTAGTTTTATTTTATAAGCAGAAGGTAGCTAAAGGAAACAAGAGAAAAAAAAAAAAGATAGCTGTCATTTCCCTAAGGACTATATTCTCTGTAAGAGTTTTTAGGTATATAAGAGCAGACAAAAATAGCTCCTTGGAAGGTCATGCATCTTTTCTGCATGCAGATAGCTTTGCATTTCTAACCTGAAACATCTGTGTCTTGTGGTAAGCAAGCAAGAATGGATGGAAAGAAAATAGAATAACAAAAATGGACTTGGAGGGCAGCCAGAGCCTGTGTAACATGTTCCTCATTCATGTGAGCCTGTATGAACTGCTGCCAGCCAGAGATTTTTCTGTACATGCAATGGAGAAAGCTTGCATTAACTCCTAAACCATGCTTCAAAGTCAGCTTAGCCAAATAAAGACTGAATTCAAACTGTCAATAGATGAACAATGGCAGGAGGCACCCTTATGTTTTAAAATGGAGCCACAGGCTCACATTCAAATGATTTTAAGCTACTGGCTGGCTCTGGAGCCTAAAAGACATTTCAGCTTGTCAGACTGAATGTTCTCTTTCTCTTGATATCTGCATGCTGAGACGGAGTTTATGAGAAGCTTTTATAGCAAATGCCAAAGTCAGAGTCACTGCAGAACACTTCTAGTATTGAATAGTGAAGAGCTAATGTGAGAGGAAAAGGCTCTGTGTTTCTCTGCCTATTAAACTTGCCCCTCCCCCCTGCCCCTTCCTGCCCAAATCCCCTTGGTTAATCAGGTTATATTTGCCCTATTTCTCTCAGGGAGTACACAGAATGCAGTGCTGCTAGAAGTGGAGGAAGGGAAGGAAGAGAAGGGCATGCTGAAAGGAAGAGTGGTTTGAGGATGCTCCAGAAATTAAAGCTTTGATTTGGCAGGGTTCCTGAGATCAGAGCAGGATGCCTTTGGGCTGTGAGATGTCTCTGTGACCTGTCAAACTTGCTGACATGCAAGATCTTGAATCCCAGGCCATGTGTTGGAGGACAGTGAGGGAAGCTTGCCTGTGTGCACTCAAACTGGAGGCACTGCTGGTCTGAGTGGCCAGCAGCTCCCTCCCTGAACACCCACTCAATGCCCTGTTTCAGCCAAGAGACCCCAGGAGGGAGAAACTGATGTCCCTTGGGGAGCACTGTCTGCCTGACATTGACTGAAGTGCAGTGCTTAATTGGGGGGGGGGGTGTGGGGGGTGTGCTAGGTATGCGTGCACATACAGAGCTGTTACATGCTGCATGCTTCTGTGCAGTCATACAGCTTTTAATTCTCACTGCACTATTCCTCTTGAACATATGGCCATAAGCCACAGAAAAATAACACAGACCTGCCGAAGTAAAATGCAATTGTGAGAAGCAGTTAGCCAGCACACACACAGACAGCACTGCTGACTTGGGCGCTGGTGAGTGTAAAGTTTCCTTTAAGTGTGGTGATCCTGGAATTTAGCTCTGAGTGTACTGAGATTTGGGGGCAGGTCACATGCGTGCATGTCTTGGAAATGCTCTTATCTCCAATTGTAATGGGCAATACCAGACAAGGAGACTGAGGTCCAGAGCTCTTTTGTGACCAGTTTCTAAACCCAAAGCTTGCAGCTGAAACTATTCCTGAAATGTGAAAAATTCCTTGTTCTGAGGTCTGTGTGTGGGAGAGCTTAGAAGAATAGGTGAGTCTTGATGGGAGAATTAAGGGCAGTGATTTGGGCGATTTTTGGAAATGTGGCCAGTAATTCAGCAGGATGTAGACCTGCAGGTCTGCATCTGCGTTCTGGCTTTTGGGGTTGAATTTATCCAAAAGCTCCAAACCAAACTTTTCTAGACCAAATCATGAAGCTGCAGGGAGTTTATATGTAACCCTGCTTCTTTAATATTCTAATTCTGGCCCAGGATCAATTGCATGTCAGCCTCTGCTTGCACTTCCATTTTGCCAGGAAGTGCCAAGCCACGCAAGCATTGTCTAGTTGTGCCAGCTTCTTTGCTTGAATCATGGTCCTTTGACACAAATGTATGCGAAGAGATTTTTAGCAGCCCTCTTTAACAGCATGGATCAGAAACATTCATGTCGGTCAAAGCCAGGTGAATGCTAAGACATTCTTCAAATAGTGTAAGCATCGGCAAATGCAGACCTGAGCTAGCAAATCCCACAGGATGACATGATTTTACATGTTCTCCAGCACAAAGCAGGGCTAACTGGGTGGCCACAGACTCCTGTTCCCACAAGAATGAAGGCAGGCAGGAAATAAACCACCAGGAACCGTTCCTTGGCAGGAGAGAGCTGTGTAACAAGCCCTGGGCTGCTGCAGAGCCGGGCCTTGCAGGTGCCTACAAGTCAAGTGAGAACAAGGCATTGGGATCTCACTGTGCAGTGCTGGCTGGCAAGCATGTGTTTTAGAACATGTCCAGAATTTACTGATGCCCCAAGACAGTGTGCTGCCATGGCCTGGTGGATATTTGCTGTAAGGTGCTGGCTGGTGCCGTATGATACGGCAGCTTTGCTGTGCTCGGGCCTCTTCTGTACAATCCTTTGTAGCAGTAAAGAGCAGGAAGGCTGCTGTTTGGTTTAACTGCAGTATGGGGCGTGGGGGGGGGGGATGGCTACAGCATCCCCCTGCCCTGCAAGAGTGACAGCTGACTGTGTGTGTGAGGAAGGGGAGAGAGCTGAGCTGCATGATGAGTGGCTTTGGTTAAAATCTGTACTTAGGTAGGAGTCTGCTGTGCCAGCCTGTGCGTGGGAGTGCTGTTGGAGCAGGTGGTTAGCAGCCTTGTTGCTGCAGGGTTAGCTGGCTTGTGGGCAGCTGCCAGCTCTGTGCAGGAAGGAGGGCATCCTGCTTTGGAGGAGGAGAACTGTGCACGATGAGGAAGCTTGGAGGCTTATACAAACACATAGGAGTCTGTCTGACTTTAAGGTTGAGCAACACCATGATCCAAAGAGCAGATCTCATAAAATGTTTGCAGGTTAACAGGAGGCTTTTACTATGCCTCTCTGACACTGCCAGTAAAAAGCTGTCAGTTGTACAAATATATACAAAAATATCTTCTCCCCAACCTCCCCCAAACTATGCTTAGGTGCCCAGAGTTATGTGGCTGGCTTAAAAATTCTGACTCATAGGATCATAGAATAGTTTGGGTTAGAATTTACCATCTGTTGTGCTTCTGGTTGTCTTCCTGTCTTCCAAAACCTCAAGTCTGAAAACAGGAATTCTTTTTTTTATATGTTTGTTAACAGTCTATGACTCCAGAAAGTGGAGCTTTAAGGAGAACTGCAGTGATTGCTCAGATCTAGTAGCACTGACAGGAAGCTGAGAGGCAAAGACCTGAGCTGAGAAGGTGGGCCAGGAGGCAAGGCTGAAACAGTGGCTCCATTGTTTGGCTTTTGCTGTGGCTGGTGGATATGGCTGCATGTCCCAGGGTGTTGCATATTACAAATACATGGCTCATGGTGTGCACAGCAATCGAATCACGAGGTAGTTACTGGGCCAGTGTGAGAGGCATGCAGGCAGTGGAGGGTGTTAAAAAAAAAAAAAATCAACACTCCAGATTTTCAAGTTCAGACCTCTGCTCCTATCATCTGTTTTTAGGTGGGAAAGAAATCAGAAGTTTAGAGATGAAGAATCTTGAGAATATCTGTCTCAGCTTTAATTGCTGATAATGATTTGGATAGGGCCAGTAGCTGTACTGACCTCTCCCAGACAGTTAAGTTTTAACTAGTGAAGACATTAGCATCTGATTCATTGAAGGTCTGATTCTGCAGAAAGTAGTGGTACAAAACACCCATTAAAGTCAGCGACTAAAAAGAAAAAAATCTTTAAAAACACTGATATGACAGCATGGGATCTGCACAAGATCCATAGGGCCTTGACTGATAGAAATTGAACAGTTCTAATCTAAAATCTCTCATCCTTTCCCATGCTGTTCTGCTGAACATATGATATGGAATTTGGGGAGTGAGGCATGAAATATTAGAATTTTAAAACGTAATGTATTAATGTCTCAGTTCTTATGTGCAGTTTGAGGTATCCTACACAGATCAGGTTCTTGGAAGTTGGATACTTCATGGCTAGAGAGCTTGTACTTCCTCTAAATACAACCTTTTTAAGCTGTTGCATAGTGTTTCTTTGAAGTTTATTGTCCCTGGGTTGACTTAATCTGTCTGGAAACCTTGAGCAAAGGAATAAACTGTTTATTTCATATGTAATTTTTAACGTACGGGTGTGATAAAGTTGATAGATGCCTAATACTAGCTTATACATTTAACAGTTTGTTGCATTTCTAGTACTTAAGGATGCAAGTGGCTTGCTTGTACTAAAGCAGCTGTGAGAAATTATTCATGTGCTAAGTAGAGACAAATTGCTTTTCATGTGATTTTTTTTTTTTATCCTTTTGAGGATCCAGCACCTTCTAGTTTCTCCGGAGCAAGCATAATCTTTGCAATCTCCTTTGATAAAGAAATCTGAAAAAGAAGACTCTTTTTCTAGAATGTATTGATGACCTGCCCAGGTTACCTGAAAATACCTGTAATCTCAGCCTTGTGTCGGGACTAAACAAGTCATTAAAGGTCTGCTGTAAAAACGGTTGTGCAAGACCTTTAATAGGGAAATTAGTTTGAACTTTGTCCTGACACCGTTTCCTGACTCTATATAACTTGCTAATTATTACATGCAAATAAATAGAGGAGAGGAAAAAAATGACATACCCCAAAGTAAGGTCAACCACTGGACCCTGGACTGCTTCTTGTAGTGGCTGCAAACATGCAAAAAATATTTCAGGGTTAAAGATTTGCCTTTGCAATTCTCCTGTGAACTGCATATGCCTAATGAGCCTGAGGAGAAGCTCAGAAAGGTTACTAGCCATGTAGCAGTGGCACTGCCATTAGAACTCCTTCCCTATCCAACGAAGAGAAGTCACTCTATGGACTCATCCTCTGGAAGAGCTGAATCTAATCTCTTCTTTTGGAGATGCATGCACCCCTAGAGGTGCATGAGGGGATCCATGCACTGCAAATAGAAGACAGCTTGCATTACCTGAGACTTCTTGCACATCTCTCACAATTATTCTGTAGACCTTCAGCGGTCACAGACAAGATTTCTCTGCACCTGAAGTTTATATCTTCTGCGAGAGTAAGACAGAGCCCAGCACTGATGAGCTGAAGTTGGCCTTTGTCAGTATCCTTCGTACTTCTCATCTCGCCCACTCCATCTGCTATTGGGTATCCTTAAGTATGATGTTGGAATTCAGCAACAAATTAAGAAAAAGTAGCCAATCTCTCTGGGACATCTTGCTGAAAAACAAACCTCTGCCAGTGACCTAGATCTGGTTAAGTTTTGAATTATTTAGTTGCCATCTTGTAGATAATGCAGAAAACTTGTGTTTGGGAGAAATCTCTCACCTTCAGGTTGAATTAGGCAATCTCTCGCTGCTTTAGAAATTTTGTTGCTGACTAGGGACAGCTGGAAGGACTGTCTTTGACCGTTGGTACTGCTTTTTGATTACATAAATGTTCTTAACAGTTGATAGTTATCTTGGGAAATGACACATTTGAAATGTTGAACCTACTTGTTTTTTTTCCTCATGTTGTTGTTTGGCAGATGCAGATTCCAAAAGAGCTGCAAGCTGCACAGGTTGGCTGTGCTGCTGGCAAGGCTTGGGCTCTATACTACCCAGTTAGGCTCTTGCCAGTAAAGTCAGTAGAAGTGACAGCCACAGGGCTGGATTTTTAAAGAGCCAGTAAGTATTTTAATCCTGCTGCATTCAGTGAGATTTAGATGCACAAATACTTGGTTATAAACCATAGTAGGTAGGTGGGGGAGCTGCACACAGATCTTGTCTCTCTGCTCTCTATGCTGCTCTTTGGGCATGCCATATGGCTCTTGCTGCCACCAGGATCTATAGGCCTCCTGAAAAGCACGCGCTGCTGCAGCACGGCATTTCTTTACCCCTAGTCCTTTATAAAGGATGGAGCTGTCATTTTGTTAGTGAGCTGAAAATGGGTAATATGAAATATTTGTAGAGTTTATTAATGTTAGTACAGCTTCCTGGTGCTGATGTAGGAGCAAATTCAGACAGGAGCTTGCCTTCTTGCTGCTGGAAAGAGAAAGCTGAGCAGTGAAGCCTTGGAGTTTGGAGCTGGGCTTTTGATTTGAGCTGATCCTTTAAATGAATTAAAGACATTTCTTGGTCTGGCAGTAGTGCTTGGCATTGGGATTTGCACAGGACTGTGACTACCTGTGTCTGCATTAACAAGCTGTGTGCAATAAATGGGGTCAAGCAATTGATACTAAGGACGAGGCATCCCTTTGGTATGTGTGCTGGAGGTTTTACTTCTGGTTAACTCTATTCTAGCCCTGTGGACTGGCACTCACTAGTGACTGGAGTTCATCTCTAGTTTATTGTCAGACCAGGGAACTCTGTTTGCATGCTCTGAGATGGCCTTGTGATCTGAACTACAGCTCATAACCAAGAACACTCGAGAGGCTTTGCTTTAAGAGTTTGTTTGTGATGTGAATAAAATGCTAATATGGCTTCACCCAGTGCCCAGGGCTCCAAGCTGTGTTGTGTAACCCAGCAATGTGTGCATGAGGGGTATCTAATTATAGCACCAGATTCTGGTTTCAGATAGCTTGATATTATTTAAAAGGGAGTATGTTTAGGGGAGAGTAATAATGAAATAATGTAAGTTGAACTTGGGCAGTAGCGTGAGTGCTGAAGCCACAGAGCTGCCTCACTGTCAGGCTGTCTGTGTAGCCTGTGTACTGATGTGGCAGAGCTTCTTGCTGCACTGAGCCATCATTGTCTGCGCAGGAAGTGGAGCAGTGTTGAATAAGGGGAAGAGACGGCTGTGAGCCAGGGCTGGGGAGAGAGGAGTTCCTGCACAGGTAGAACACAAAATGTCAACACTTGAATGTGGAGTGTCTGGGCATGGCCATGCTGTGTGCTGTAGGATTGAATAGGAGTCTGACTAGGACAGAAACAAAACTTATTTTTGTGAGCTTTCCCCTCCTCATTTCTGTGAGTTTTTCTTTGGTAGAAAAAGCATTGGGTAGTCCTCATGTAGGAGACAATGAAGCATGTTGTTTCTACCATCCCAGGAGCTGCAGTTTAACCATGGATTGAACCAAATTGACAGGAAATCAAGACTATATTGTAACATAGAGCTGCTCTGTCTGATGCTTCTTCTAGTGGAAGATTTCCTGATCACAGTCAGGTTTATTACCATTGAGAGTGCCACACTGAACACTTCTGTGGATAAAGACTTCTTTGCGCAAGAGGACAAGGCAGAGCCCTCACCCCTGCTGGCAGGGACCTGATGCCTGACACCAGCTGCAGCCTGTGTCTCGAGGAGAGCATCAGGGCTCCAAAGCCACCCTTGCTGGAGCCAAATCCAAACTCAGTCTGCAAAGAGCACTGTTAAGTGCTGCTGTGCCTCACTGCTGCAGCTCCCCCAGGAGTAGAGGCTGTGGATGTGAGTGCCTGTTCCGCAGAGCTCTGGCTGCACCCTGCGCAGATGCAGGCAGGGGATTGCATGTCAGGTCAGCGCTGCTTGCTCTTGCTGCTTGCTCTTGCTGCTTGAGTGCCAGTCTCCCTATGAATATGCTATTTCTGAATGTAGGACACTGCTTCATAAGCCTGTGTCATTCTTCGCTTGGGTACAGCAAACAGCTGCAGGGTGGAGGGGCCTCCTTTTGTACTCAGATGGCATGATGTGGTAACCTTCCCCAGAAGTAGCTCTGCACAGTGAGAGGGTTTTTTCCTGGCTGGTCTCAAATGTGATCAGTTACTGACCCCATGGAACCTGGACTGCATGTTTAGGTTAGCTCTGCTTCCATCACAGGCAGCAGAGAAACTAGGTGTCTCTTCTGTGGCTCCTTCTAGGTTCTGCATGTCAAGACAAAGAGCCCAGGACACGGAGTCTGGGGGCTGGTAATGCTTTGTCCCAGCTTGGGCACAACAGGGAGCTCTCAGGGTAGGGTCCTGTGCTGGGCAATGTTAGAAAGTGGCCTCAGAACCAGGCTGCCAACATTTAATGGGTGGAGTTAGGGGTCAAGGCCATGCTCTGCCAACCATGTTTACAAGGCACTGTCTGGCCTCATGGTTCTCCTTGGTAGCCCCGTGGCTGTGTTCCCATCACAGCCCCATGAAAGGCAGTTGTGATGGGGGAGCAGAGAGGAGACAGAGCAGCTGTTTCCCTTTGTCTGCTGGCAGAGCACAGTAAGAACTAGATGTCACTAACTAGGTGACTTTCATGGTCATGGCTTTCATCAGGAGAAAGAGATCAGAACCAAGGAAACTGCTGGCAATCTCTGACTGTTTTCCAGCCAAGAAGTACCTTGGGCTGCCTGTGATCTGGGGATCATTTCCCTTTCTAGAACTAAATGGGGTTTGTTTGTCTTCTATGGTATAAGGTCTAGAAATTGTGACATGAAGTGTTTGGTGTATGGGGGAGAATGATGAAGAGGAGGGTTTCCCACCCTCCTTTCCCCCAGGAAAAAAGTTACCCCTGGGAGAAATCTCCTTCCTTGGGAGAAATTAATCTTAAATCCATGGATACAGATCCCCATTACTGTAGCTTAACAGGGCCACATTTAAGGAGTGGATCAAAGCTTTGATAGCTGCTTCCTATTCTGGTTTATTGTCACCTGAGCATGTTTATCACAAAATCCAGTAGTAATTCCCGTGTTTGTCTTTGGACTTTGGTATGTTTGCTTCTGTAAGATAGGGTTGAGGAGCTGTGCCCAAGGGAGTGGCAACCCATGAAGAAAATCACTTCAATTTCTGTAGCTCCCAGGATTCCTTCCCATCCATGACTGAGGTTCCTAAAGCACTCTATCTGCTGTAGAACAGCACAAACCAGTTTGGGAGCTAGTGACAGCATTTTACATGGGAAAAAGTGGCATTTTGGTGAATTGGAGTATGCTAGAGTGCTGAAGAGAAGATCTGAGCTCTCCTGAGGTTTCAGTTGTTCCAAGAATGCTTTTGATCAATATAAATTCTAAATTATGGCAGGACCCCTACTTGAAGTGTATTTGGAGTCCAACCGAGATCTTTCCTTCCTGTCCCTTTTTTGAGGGACTGCTATCTTTCCCCATAACTGCCCCTTGCTGTCCACATCTGTCCCATGCAGAATGGTGCCATGATCAGCCCCTTAGCATGCAAAACCTAGAGACCCCCTTACCTCAAGTAGAAGAGGTGTTAGTGAGATAGACAAGGCTTGGGCATCTAAGCGAGTTCATTTCTTACGGGTGGGCTTTATCAGGCATTCTTAGTTTGGTAGCTGGCCTTTGCTGTGACTCCTTGAATTACCAATGACATCTCTGTCATCTTAATTCCACCATTTCCAACCAGTCATTTGGCACCTTGTCTTCCAGTTACAATAATTGGTGTGTTTGGTAGCATGCTCACCTTAACAACACCAACCACACTCCTCAAATTCTTGTTTGGAATTGTGGCAGGGTGTGCATGAGCACAAGCCAGGTTTTATGGGGCGATTTGGTTACCTGAAGGTTAGGAAAGCAGAAAGCCTTTGAGGGTGTAATTTCCTGAGGTCAGCAGAGCTTCAGGGCAAGAGGAAGCATTCTGCTTTTGGTGCCATAATGTCTCCACACAGAACTTGTTGAGGTCTGTGCTGTACTGTTGCAAAGCATTGCTATTTTTCATAGCAATGTGCTTTGTGTGGCATGCTGCTGCAGAACAGGGTGCTTGGTGCTTACCTGCTCTGCTGTTCTGGCCGTGCAGTCTTTGCCCCTGCTTGGTGCACACCTGGCATAACCATGCAGCCTGATGCTAGCAGTGTCCTTTCTTGGCCCTTGCTGCCAAGATTTCACTTGATCAGCTCTTGGCTGGGAGGGGAGGGCAGCATGGTGCCTGGCAGGTAGCAGGTGGGGATGCTGTGTTAGACTCAGGGGTTGTCAGTCGGGAAGCACGTGGCTTTACATCTTAGTGCTTATTTCCTTAATGTGCTATCTGCAGAAGTAGGGCAAAGGTGGAAACTGGAGAGTGCTTGCAGGGAAGTGCTATTGTATCCAAGTTGTCAATTCTGATCATGGGACATGCCATATATCAAATAAAGCTATTATGAATCCTCTCTTACCTGGATCAGCCCGTCGGCTGCCAGTGTAGAGCCTGCAGGTTAGGTCAGGGAGGAAGTGAATATGCTGCTGTATATCATGTGGCAGGCTGGAAGTCCCACCTGAGGGCAATGCTCCTTGTGTAATACCTCAAATGAGGCAACTCCTGCCCCAGAAAGTCTCATCCTCTCTGGTCAGTTCCCAAAGTGTTTGTGTCTTGTCTTTTTAGCAGAAGCTTAAGCTTGGGTATGCTCAAGTCCTTCCCTCTTTTCTCTGTATTTTGTAATCAGGATCTTGTTGGCATGACAGCAGACTGGTAGTTGTGGGGTAGAAAAGGGAGGATGAAAGTGTTGGCAAGAGCTGAACAACAGTTTCCCTTATAGTTTAGGGGATGAAATGCACAACTGTGGGTACA